CACCACAGTGTACAATCACAAGAATGGGGTCCTAATCAGAGTAAGACATATTCCATGCTTGTATAATTATATCAAAAGGAGTTCTACTGTCATATGTAACTAAAAACAACCAATAAAAAAGAAGCTGCATTTAGATGGAAAGAACATATATTAAATCATTTTCTTGTATTATAACATTAAGTATTAGTTCTGTTCCATTGTTTTCTTTTCCTTTGTAAGACTCCAATTATATGCATGTGCTTGATCTTCCATTTCAGCTACTTCCTTTTTGATTCGTTTTAGTTTATATCATCTTCATTTATTTGGTTATTTTCCTGCCTTTGTTTAAAATGTCTTGACAATTTTATATTTAAATCTATGTTCTCTTGGAAATTTATAATTTAATCTTTCTTTTTATTTCATTTTATTTTCCGAGTTCAAACAATTCAATTGATTGAATTAAATCCTTTACTTTCATTCAATTGATTGTTAATGTTTTGTTGACCATTTTTGTACTCGAATAAGGTTTTATGGGCTTATTTTTAAATATCCCTAAATGCTTTTTTTAAAAGCATTTTTAAAAATGCTCTTTTTAATTCCAGAATTAATTGGGAATTAATTAGAATTACAGCATTTTCTTTTTTTTTTTTAATCTTTGTTTTGAGAAGGAAGGAAGGAAGGAATCTGTCAGCTGATTTTTTTTTTTAAACAGTGGTTTTGTATAGTGGAAATTTTATTGTCTTTTTATTTTGTGACTGGGATTAGCAATTTGAGATGGTTTACAATATTCCTAGTTTAAGAGCACCCTCTTCTGTCATTGTAGCAAAGCAGAATTTCTTTAATGGATGACTTTTTTAAAGCAATTTCTCTCTCTTTTTTTAAAGTAATTTCTCACATTGTGTACTTAATATACTTCTTGTTGCATACATAGAAATTCCCAAGTGGTTCATTTGTGATTGCTACATTTGGTTACAGTAAAGTCATTAGCTCCTATCTCAGTGCATTTAAGAACATATTTTAAAGTAGTGATGATTTTCCTAGAAATTTCAGGACTTCCACTTGCATTTATTCATTCATCCATTCATTCAATCTTCAGTGAACACATTCAGTCAACACATATTCAAAGAGCTCTTGCAATATGAAGTATTATCACATACCGGTAATGAAAGGGTATTGCAAACATGACCTTTCTTTTCTAAAAGAAAGAGTGATCCACTCTCATATATTGCCAGGTTTTAAAGGCAAAAAACGAGGAATAACCATTTCTATTACCTTTTAAATTCCAAGTTAAAGTGCCTTTTTAATATATGAATTTTCTAGGAATGGCAAAAAATTTCTCAAATGGTTATTTTCCTTTTATAATTTTATTATTGATTTCTTTTATTAGGACACATATACATATTTTTGAGCAAAACTTCTAGAATTTTATTAGGGGTTCATTTTTAGTTAAATACTTGATAACAGTATCAATATAATCCCTGAATATGAAAATTACACATATTCTTTACTGTTATAAAGTAATATGAGGTAAAAATGACATGAATGGATATGTGTATATAAATAAAATTTTGTTTTTGTTTTGAGTGTATTTTTAAATTGAACATGTCTTATTATATTTAAAAATAAATTTACCTTCAATTTTTTTACTATGCTGTTTGCTACATTAACATTATGCCTGTTTAAACATTTTAGAGTGTTTAATTCCACATTATTCTTCCTTAAAATGTGTTTATACTGTAAATTTTGTTTTTGGCATTTGTAGTGATACTACTATTTAGTTTTATTTCCACTTGACAAATCTGTTTATTCTCATCATTTGTTTTATTTGTTCTTCATCTAGGTATAATACTTGTTTGAACTTGAGTATGCTGAATTAGGTAAAATTCTGTATGACTGTATATACTCACATCCCAATTTGATAGTCTGGGCTTTGCTTGACTTTTTCATTTTTACATTTACTGTGATTCCTGATATATGTGAATATATTATTTCCACTTATTTTTGCTATGTACTTTTATTTGACACATCTTCCTATTTCTCTCTTTTACCCACACTGACTCAATGGATCTTTTTAGTTTGCAATTCTTTCCTCCTTTTTCTATTGATTTGGAATTCATTTTATATAACTTAGTCTATTATTCTGACAGATATGTTGATACATCAAAATAATATAATAATATAAGAATCCAGCTTCCTTAGCTGAGGGACATTTTTCCTTTGTCCACTCATCATTTGCATCCTTAGCTCTCAAATATGTCCAACCATTAATGTTTCTTAAGTAATAGAAAACCATTGCTTACCAAGTAGTTCCTACTCTCATGAAAAACTAATTATAAACCCCTGTAAACCAATTGTTCTATAAAATTCCTTGCTCTGAGTCTGGCAGGTACCATCTGGAGGTTCTTTCTGAAGGGAAAATCCAAAGGCGTTAGTGATAAGACCCTTGGAGAATAACAAAATTCCAATAATATGGAGAGACCTGGATAAAAAATGGACTTTGGTTTTCTCTCCTTGGTTCTTTGGCTATCTACAAATGACAAGGATAATGAATTTTCACTCTTGGATATAAAAGAACAGGGCTTGAAATAAACCCACCACTTTTCCATTATAACACTACAGTTGCTTTAAAACTCTCTATTCTAAAGATGAGTTTTCATTTAACCTTAAATCAAAAAAGAAAACCTCTACATAGTAATGAGCTGGACATTAACTTTAAATAAGAATTAATTTGATGTTAATGCTAATTGGAAATAGTTTATCTTGCTATTTGGTATTTTATTAGCACATTTAAATTAAGGAATTGGGCAAGGATAAATGAAAGGATAGGTATTAGAAGATTATTTGTAAAATCAAATATTTAAGAATTGAGCATTCATTAATAGGACATTAATGAGGTTAGTTAAATTATTATATAACCATACATTTTAACATTGTATGCTACATGGCATAAAAGAGTGACATAATAATATTGATGTCTATCATTCCTATAATATCTTTGGTGTGCCAGGCCCTGTTCTGAGTATTTTACATATAAATCTCACAACCATCTCACAAGGTTTGTACTATTCTCTTTTTCATTTTACTGAAAAAGAAGATAAAACATGGGAAAGTTAATGAATCTAATACTACAGCACCAGTAAGGGGTGGTCCTGGATTCACATAGAAGAATAGACGTGGTATTTTATGAGAGAAAAAAATCAAGGTACAACATGATATGTAAGATATAATTCACATTTCTGTAAACACATGAACTTTTGTGTGTACACCTGTTTGTAAAGGGAAAAAGGCCATATGAGATATAAATCATACTACCAAGTAGGCCTTAGGTGCTGGAATGTTCTACTTTTTGCCTTATAGACTACCATTTGCTTTTTAAAAATGTATTACAATACACACACACATGACTTTTGTACTGCACAATTTTAAAGAAGCAGAGTTCAAATGAAGATACTATGGAAAGTTGCAAAAATTATGTTTTCATTCCTACATATATAGATAGCACTAATTGTAAACATTTATTTATAATGATAGTTCTTCATAGCTATTTTGCTTTTTGAAAAGTCTTCTTTGCTCTGAAAAATAATACACTAAAATATTCCATGGACTTCCCTGGTAGAAAATTTCTTCCTACATTTTGCTCCATTGATTTCCTTTCTTAAGTTTCAATATCCTCTGTCAAATCTTCTTCCCAACCCTAGACGTTTCTAATCTGAGAGAAAACAGTTTTTAGCCATTTGTATTTCAATTGCCAAAGTTTATTTAAGTTCATAAAGATGTTGTCAAGAATACAAAGCCCTTTGCTTGCTTAGCTGAAACTCTCTCAAATCTTTGTGCTTACCAGCCTGATAGAGTTAGAGGACAAAAATGCAAAACTTCTTACTATAAAAAAATTTGACATTAAGTGACTTTTTTCACTTGTGACATCATTCTTCATATTTTTCAGGAGATCATAGCGACTAATATTATGCATCCCATTTTTTTAATCAAGTAATAGTTTAGGATAAATTAATTTTCACAGAACCAATACTGGAAAATTTATATAATTTTATTGAGATGTGAAATTAATTACATAATGAGACAAAAGACTTCAAGAAAACTATTAGTAACTCAGTTTCAACTATGTTAGAGCTTGGGTTTAAATATATTTCATGATAAAATTGCTGTTGTTTTAATTTTGGGGAAATAAACTACTTTTCTTAAAATGTAAGTATTGACTCAAAAGTATGTAAGGACTTAAATGGGTATTAATCATTGCTTTTTGATAAGTATGTGTGTTCTGATATGATTTGAATATCAACCTTCAATCAGTTTCCTAATAAGAAAAGTAATATATCCATTGGCCTTCTAGATTAAAGAGTCATAACACAAACATAATGGAATATGCATCATTTCCTTTGGAGTCTGAAATATTTTTTGCTCAATTCCCTACAGCGTGAGCGGGAAAAAAAGTCAAGCAATCTTGTATATGCAGTATAAGTAATTCCCAAAAGAAATCTCAAGTTCTGTTTTTGTTTATTCTATCACTGATGATGCAAATGTATTCCTTATCTATACTTTAACTTTACTTACAAACATACTTTACATAAACCAGAAATGGTCTTGTTTATAAATTAATTTTATACTTTGTTGTTAGAAAAGAGAAAAATGGAATTTAAAATAAACAGTGAGAAAGGAGATATAAACCCAAGTTCATCTGCAAAAGGAGGATATCCATATCAGAGAAAAATCTTTTAAAAACCTGATATAAACATTCAAAATGAGGAATAATGAATATTATTAAAATGATATTTCACATATTGGAAAATATTGGAAAGCATGCAAAATCACATAAAATCACTGTCATTTTTGAAATACACTCCCATCTTCTTTTTCTCTTATGCATATAGATAAATGCAAATAGTGTAACTATATTTACCTTAATAATCTTATAAATAATCATATATTGATTGATATTCTATTATAAGAGCCTCAAATAAGTAAGCCAGCTGCAATAAATGTTTATAAAAAAAACTGTTCCTTACCGACACATAGGACCATTTTTCTCCACCACACAAATCCCATCATTTTTGCAATAATTTAATGGACACTCTAAAAAGAAACATCAAAAAAGAATACAGTTAATTATAAATATTATTAGGAAGTAACTTATATATAATTGTTAGTTATTGCATTAAACCTGATCTCTGAGAGTAAATGGCTTCCAGCTTGCGAATGGCAAAAGAATTCTAGGCTAATTGCCTCACCCCTAAAATTTCATCATGGACTCTTCTGTCCTGGGTGGGTTCATGTCCTTCATATGCCTGAGTGAGACGACTCTGCACCTTCTTCTCTACGCATTAGGTACAATCTACCTATTTAGAATATATCCTCATGATGTGATTGTACTGAAATCTTTTGTTGACTAGAACATTTCTTTCATTCCACATAATAGTCACCATATCATGGCTGATTAATGCTTATCATGGGAAGCCTTGTCTTTTTGGTAAAATAAATGATTCATGTGCATGTGCATATCTTTGTCTATGCACCTGGCATAGTTCAAGCCAGTCCTTCTTGCCCCATGACCTATTTCATTACTTGCATTGCTCCCTAGTTCTTGTTTAGCATGAGCATTTATTTTTAAAGGCATTTTTTGAACGGGTCAAAAAGAAACTAAGTATTTTCACATTGCTTCTACTGAGGACAGAGTTAGCACTTTCAGCTCTTCATACTGCATTCATTTACACTGCCTCCTTGTATTCTCACTGCACAATTCTGATCCACTAAGAGCTGCCAATTTTCCTGTTCTCTTAAAGCCTGACTTGAATTTTCTGGCTTTTTTTTTTAATACCTTCTTTCTTGCAGGATACCATTCTTTCTTTATTGGGCTATTTTAACTCCAATACCTGGGTGAAAACCTTTACTATTTTTAATTTTTAATACAACAAAATATTCTGAGTACCACTTGAAAGTCTGGCACTGAGCTAGGCACCAGAAATGTAATAATTAATAATATTGGCAGTTTAAAATGGCTAGTAATGCTGAAGACACTGAAGCCAACTGCCTGAGTTGTAACCTCAGCTCAATTTATTAGCTGTGTAATATACTGAGGAAGTCAGTTAATCTCTCTGTTTCAGGTTTATCTCTATAAAACAGAATTAAAAATAGTTCCTATCTAGATTTATCTATAGAGTTGTTGAAACTCTTAGAAAAATATATAACTCCTACTATGCATTTAATAAATACAATTTAAAAAATATACAGCCATGATTTCTATTGTCATTGATATTCCAGCCTCACAGAGGATGCAAAAAAAAGTAAGAAGGGATTAAAATATGGTATGAAAAGTAATCTGTTGGGAAGGATTTACCAAAGGTGACAGAGGCATCCTGGAGAGTACCTCAGTCAAATCTGGGGAGTCAGAAATGTTTCTGAGGTGAATTAGTGGCATTTATTTACCAGGAATGTGATAGTGTAAATTTATGCTTAAAGATCTGGACATTCCAGAAGAACATGTAATGTGTTGGAGTAACTGGAGGAAGTCCAGCCTGGTTGGATTGTTGATGATATAAAGAAGTGATGAGAAAAAGAGAAACAAAAATCCAGCATAGAGAGACTCAAGTGAGACTAGGAGTTTAAGAAGGGGAACATCAGAGTCTTATAACAATCTAGGAAGAAATTATGCCTAATTGAATGGAGTGGGCAGGGGTGGAGGGCGAGAGCTATAGGAATTAAAGAAGTATTTAAATGGTGTCATTGTAACATCTTGGTGACTATTTGAAAGAATCAAAGGTGGTGTTCAAACTTTTGGCTGGACCAATGGCAAGTGATGTTTTAATTCATTGAGCTGAGTTATTTATGGAGAAGGAAGATATTTAAAGGGAATGATGATGCTAGGTTTAAATGCCCAAGGGACTTCCAAGTGGAAGGGTTTCACAGGTATTGGAATCTGTACATGTGACCCCAAGTGAAATACCAGTTAGAGATACAGACCTGAAGATTCTCTTCAGACGCCTTCTTTTGCCTTCCAGATATTATTCATTTCTAGGAATGCTCCTCAAATCATTTTTTAAAATATTTTTTTCACAATACCTTTATTTTATTTATTTATTTTTATGTGTGCTGGGGATCAAATTCAGGATTTCATACTTGCTAGGCAAGCACTCCACCATTGAGCTCCAGCTCTAACCCTTCCTCAAATAATTTTGAGGTCTTTATTTTAAGTACCATGGAGTCACACAGATATAATTTTTGTCTATATGGAAGTAGAGCAACCTTAGTAGAGAAAAAGAAACCCATTTACTTCAGTAGAGAAAAGGTACTGGTCATGAAGTATAGTAAAAAAGTGAAGAAAAGAGACAGAGATTCCATTAAGGCAACATTCACTGACTTAAATATTGGAGGAAAAGTTGTTCTGAGAGATTTTCCAGCCAATCATTGAACACGTGGAAAGAGATGCCAGAGGCATTAGGAAAGAGGAAGTCAGAAGAGAGGGAAGTTCGAGGTCAAAACTGAACTATGTCATGTGTCTAGTATGATTTTTGGTTTCAAAAACTTTTAGCAATTTGCTTTCCTAGGAGTATATTTTCCATCTTGGCCTTTGTTTATCTTCTTTATTTAACTAATCAGAAAAGTGGGGTATTGAGAATAAGAGTAAAGAGCAATCCCCACCGGTCATGTACCATTGAATAGAATAGATATAAAGCTTCCTGCATAAACAAGATATTAGCTGGTTTAACTAAAACGAGTCCACCAATATGATGGAGCACAAGTAGACCTAAAACTTGTTAGAAAAACATTTTTATGGTTATTTTTTTCTTAAGTACACTTTTTAGTCTTCCTCAAGCAATGGTTTTGTTCTATTGAAAAACCAGCGGAGTGTCTGATACTGCAAAGCATCAGAGTACATAAAGCACAGTACTGCTGCACATTTTCTTCTAGGGTCATTAATTTTTACTTTGATTAGAGAGAGTAAAACATAGACTCTCTTTACATCAGAATGACTGTGTGGGAATCTAAAGGCATTTTCTTGTGCTGTACATCACAGCACCAAATAAAGAACACAAACATTGACTGGAACAAGGAGGGCATCCTGGTGTTTTGGAGGGCAAAAGATTTATAGATTGTTTCTGCAAGAAGTTTTTATGTTTCTATCTTATATTCAGGTACTTTATTCGTAATTTGAAGAGATGTTGTAAAGGTATTTTTGTCTTTAATTTTCTCAAAATAATTTCCAGTGTTGAGGATGGGGAAGGGAATGGATATGACTAGTTAGTAATGAACAGTTAGTTTTTCTAGTATATAAGAAGTAGGAATCCACGGGGTGGCATTAGAATTAGCACAGATCATGACTTTTTTTGCTACAATAAAGTCTTACTGACTTGTTTCCTCTTGAGTTCGTTTTTTATGAGCATGTGTATGGAAGCCCAGACAACTCACATCGATTACACAGAAATATTCTGGGCAGAATTCACATTTATTACCATTCTGGTATATCACTTTGAGCATGCAGGAACACATATATTAAAAGCAAATGTAACTGCTAAGCTTAAATATGCAACCGGGCACCTATTTTGTTTTCTCTTAATGTATACAGAGACGTTACGTAGAAGTTTTTTTGGGGAAATGGAGAATCATATGAGCCCTGATTTTCCCTCTCTGATACCTGGCTCAAGCAGATTTGAGTTCTGTGTCTTTGGGACCTTTAAGTCCCAGGTTCTTCATAATATTATATGACTTCTTTATAGTGACTTCTGGGAAAATGGAACTCAATTTACTAAATTTATTTGTGACATTTCTACACTAGTGGATGGTATATATGAGGTGTTAAATAATTGTTCTCATTCATCTCTACATTGGTTGGAGTGGTTCTCTTTGTTATCTGTACAACCTAATTTCATGACTACCTCTGTCCTTCTCAATCCTCTCCTCCTCCTTTTCCCCTCTAACATTATAATCATATCACTATGCAAATTTACTGAATACCTCCTATGTGTCAGGATTTTCCTAAGAGTTTTACTGTGTCCTCTCACTTGAGCCTCATAACATTAAGTGGCATATGTCATAACCATCTTCATTTTACAGACCAGGAAACTGAGGCTTCCATAATCAACATAACTTGTTTGATTTAATAAGTTATATATAAATAACAAAGAACCATTTAAACTAGACTAAATCCTGTTCATCTAAAAATGTTAAGTGATTCACTATTTAGTTCAGGATTTCAACTGCATGTGATTCTCAATATGAAGCTCAGAAAACCCTGTGAGTCATAGGACATCTACTTGCTATCACAGATAAATATGCACATACACAATAATCTGCATAAGGTTTGAAGAGAACTACGGATCCTATGTACCCACCAGAAGAACTTGAGAGGCAAGCCAGCTCCCAAGTGGGTAGAGATTATTTTCTTCATCTTGAATCCCAGCACAGGGAATGGAGGAGAGATTACCAAGTCTAGAAACTTGAAATAACTTCCATGATACTTGCCTGAGAACATTTTCTGATTTAGTTTTGTTTTCTTTTTAAGCCCTTCTGAAACTTTATTAACCTATATTGTTATCCTCATCCTCATCCCCATCAGTATACATTACTACATATATGACATTATATTTGTAATATCCCATCCTACAATTTGATATTTTTAATTTCTTTTTGTGTGTCTTTATGTACTGGGAATTGAAAACAGGGGTGCTTTACCAATGAGCTACATCCCAAGCCTGTTTTATTTTTTTATTTTAAAACAGATTCTTGCTAAATTTCTGAGGCTGGCCTCAAAATTGTGCTCTTCCTGCCTCAGCCTCCTATGTTGCTAGGGTTATAGGTGTATACTACCACATCCAGTTTTAATGCCTTTTTTCTAATTCTCCTTCAAATGCATGATTATCATAAGTAGGGTATCAACTTAGCATTAATTTTATTAATCTCTACCACTGCAAATAACTAGAGAAACATTTCCCATTTAAGTTTAGCCAGGCAAATTCTAGCCAATAATTTTCTGTTTCATAAGCCACTGAAACTTGAAAATAATCTGCCTTTCCAATGTAACTTAGGAACAGACAGGATTCACTGAAATATACTTAACAGTCTGAGCTTGATGGTCTTTTAATGTCCTAAACCTTGAGATAGGTGAGGCCAGATGTTTGTGGTGTATTGTGTGAGCACAATGGGGATTACTGGATGCTGAAAGAATGGGGTCCATAAAACTATATAAAACCAAAAAACTATGAAATGCTGAACTACCTAAAAGGAATATGATGTTTGTAAAAAAAGAAGAATATACAACGTACACCGAAAAAACTTTAGCATGGGTGAGTCTCTGTAAAAACAGAAGAATGCACATTATCCTATTTGATTGATAAACCCTAAAGCATATAAAATGTAAATAGAGAAAATGTAATATAATATGGATTTTATTTCTGAAACCTGTGTTTCACTTGTTCTTTATTTTACTCTAATCCAAGAGCTGTGTCAATATGACCTGCAAATGAACTGTAAGTGATTGGTTCTCGACTTAAACAGGCAGCACAACAACAATATGTCCTCTAGTATTATCTACAGGTTGCCTATCACTTGGCTTAAGTGGCAAGGCTTCTGTTTTTCTGACCCTATTTCTAAAGGTAGATCATGTCAAAGCAGATAATAAATCAAAGCATGTTTTGACTTGTGCTCAGAAAGGACTGTTCTAAAAGAAAAAAGAACTTACCTTTATGTAAATAATTCTGGGTATGTCAATACTGTGTTTTAATAGTTTCAAAAGAACAGGAGTATCTCACTTTTAGCTTTTTTACTCTTTAAAAGAGTAACCAGATTTTCTTTTGGGTACCTTATCTGAAGTCTAAGCATGCCTGGTACAGAAATAATGCCAAAGAACATTGTTTTTGCATAATATCTTTGTGTATTTTACGACCCCAGATCTGCTCACTTTTTTATTTCCTATCATACTCATAAAATTCAGTGCTGAGTACTAGCTTATAGCTATAAAAAATAAACCCTTTTTGCACTATGATTTGATTATAATGTCATGCTTTTGTCATTTACTTTTCTCCTCTCCTGAAAGAGAAAATATATTCTTACCTATATTTGACATAAAATATTTCCATTTTATTTAGGAGCTATGATTATTTAAGAACAGCCAAACTATCCACAGAGAGCTAGAATGCACGCCAGAGCTCCATTACACATTACAACAGCTCTTAAGATTGTATATATCTTTTATTACTGATTTCTATTATCTTTTAGTTGCAACAGAATTACATTGCCCCTATCTGTTATTTTATGTATCCTTCATGAAATAAAAATTCAATTATTCAGGAGGGATGTTAACAATAGGCTATAATAAATTAGATAATTTCAAAGCAGTTTTGATAAAAATATCATCACTGATATACATTATCATCTCTCATTCTGCATAAGTGCTTCAAGGTCATAAGAAATAAAAATGAGAGTTAATCTGAAGTGTAATAAATCTTCTTTAAAATACACAACTAGAACATGTAAATAGGTAGCTCTTAGGAAGAAGTAGAGAAAAGTACAATTACTTAAAATTAATAATGTTAGATTATATAGGATATCTTTATTATAGAAACCAAGAAATTTTCAGATTACTAAATACTAACATTCTTAAATTAGACTACACTGAATTAAAATTACATAGTCTTTTCTTTAGAGAATACTGTGTGAAACAAGCATGAGTCCATTATAGTATGTATTTTAAATTTTTTTAAAAGCGGCAATTAATATCAACATTTTCCCTGCCCCAAAACGAATCACAGAAATTCAATTAGCTAGGTGCAGTGGAACACGTCTATAATCCCAGCAGCTCAGGAGGATGAGGCAGGAGAATCCCAAGTTTGAGGTCAACCTCAGCAACTTAGTGAGGCCCTAAGCAAATTAACCAAATCCCATTTCAAAAAAAAAAAAAAATAAACAAGGGCTAGGGATGTGGCTTGGTGGTTAAGCACCCCTGAGTTGGGTTGAATCCCTGGTACCCCCACCCCCATCCCAAAAAGAAAAGAAACATTCAATTAGTCCATGATTGCTATTATTTAGAAAGTCAACCTTTAATATTTTTCTACTACCTGCAGGTTAAGGTATTGGTTCATACAACAAAGAATATTTGAAAGGAAACAAAGTACCTGAACAGCTAGACTCATCTACTTGGAAATCCATGCAGTCAGCAAAGCCATCACAGCGCTGGTGAGCTGGGATGCAGCTGTTAGAAGAGGTGCATACCAGAGCTCCATCAGAACAGCTCTTATTGGCTAAAATAAAGAATCATGACCCTGGTTATAAGCACGCCTTTATTTTTTTCAAGTATTTCTCTTAATGAAATAATAAGACCATTTATTATATTACTGTTCAGTTTTTCTAGACCTATATTTTAGAAAAACAGTTCTTTTTGAGAAAAATTTTCATTAAGTTGAAAATTTCTCCCCAAATTTTGCCAATAGAATCATTTCCCAAATACGTATTTTTTGGACTGAATTGTGCATATTTCCCTCAATTGATGTTGAACTCCTAATTGTTAATAAAATAAAATTGTTAATAAAATAAAAAGTCCCATAGGAGGTAATTAAAGTTAAGTGAAATCATCAGAGCCTAATCCAATGTTACAAATGTCTTTACAAGATGAGAAATACCAGGGATGTGAATGCGTAAAAGAAAGTCCATGTGAGGACACAGCAAGAAGGCAGCCACCTACTAGCCAAGGAGAGAAACCAAAGGAGACTTCATACTCTCCAGTGCCTTGATCTTGATCTTCCAACCTCCAGAATTGTGAGAAAATAAATTTCTGTTATTTAAGCCATCCAGTCTGAGGTATTTTGTCATCATAGCCCAAGCAGAACAATACAAGAACTATGTTGTATTGCACATATAATGTACTGCATGCACTATAAACTCTCAGTTGATTTCAGGAGTCAGCTATATGTCTTTGTAGATTTTTCCTCTTTTAATGTCTCTAATATTAAGTGTAATTAATTTGACAAAGACTGCAATTTCTTTTAATATTTAACTTCCAAATGGGGTGTTAAGTCTTGAGTAGTCACTGGATACCCAGTAGATCTATGTAATGGCATACAAGGAAGTTCAATGTACTATAATCTTGTTCCTCTACAGCATCATGACCATGCATCATGGAATAATAATCATATGTCCAGGGATTCCTTTTTTTTAATTAGTTACACATGACAGTACAATGATCCAGGGATTCTTGCTGTGGAAGAATTCATTAATGGAGTGTGATCTGACTTCAAGGGACAAGAATACTAATAAGTTATAGATGCCATGCTCACAAGACTTTGGTTGTTTCGGAAGAAAAATACCTTATTGATGTCCTTCAGGAGCACTGTCAATAACAAGCTGGTCTGCAAAGACTCCTCCTCCCTTGGATGAGAGTCTGCATACATTTACTTATATCTTCTGTCTCCACTGGGAAGCTCACTTCTAAGTCCTAAAACTGAATTCTCATGTGCTTGCTTCCTCTTCTCAAGCCTCTTTAGGATTACAGCTTCCTATGAAGCTTTGGTTTAGACTCATTTTATGAGTTAGAGCTGAAAGAGAGCCCCTCATTTCAGGCTGCCACTATGTGTGAAGCCTGGTTCATCTCTGTCCTGTTTCAGCAGGCCTGGGTAAAGGGCTGATCTATATTTTCTCTTTCTACTGTGCCAATGTTTATGTTCATCTTGTTGCTGAGGCTTTTTATAGGATAGTTCTATCTAGCATTGTTATATGTCTGGGGCAGGGGACCTACATCCAAACCGTGAGCCAACTGTACTATTTTGTCAGAATCTGGATACTTTTCAAAAGCACTGAATAATACTGATATTAACTTACACTTCCGTTCCAACCCTGCTATTTTGAGTCTTAGGATATGGAAGAGATAATGTCAAGGGCAGCACTGGACAAAGAGAGCTCTCTGGAACTTACTCCATTTTAATGAGAACAACTCTGACTTAATTAATAGTATCATACACAATACCTTATTTGAACATTTAGTCTATACCTACTGCTAAAACCTTAAAAAATATTGGTCTGGAAATTCTTTGAATTAGAATAAAGAAAATCAAGACACAATCTTTTCAAGGCAAATAGATAATTTTGATGACCCAGGGATAAATATCCCCATGCATGGGTCTTGTACAGATTTTTGTCAACATGTCACTTATTGCCTTCTTCAAATACAATGAGCCACCAAGAATTGTTTATTTGAAGGTTTTGACACTATTTAGTTTTAAGAACCGCCTGTAAAAATTTATTGTAAAGTTAGGCATAAAAAATTATGTTTTTAAGTATGTACATCTCCATTGACTGAAAATCCTGGCTCTGTAAATTCTAAGTGATAATCTTTACTGAGCAATTGTTCTTAAGGTGCTAGAATATCAATTCACACCAATAACTATTATTGAGTTTTCACTACATGTAAGAAACTCTGCTTTAGCACTTAGAGTGGAAAGTGTAGGAGATAATTTTAAAAAGAAAGAGAGACCAGAATATATATATATATACACACACACACACACACATACATACATATGTATGTATATATATATACAAACATATACATACATAATTTGACAAAGAATATATAACAAAGAATATAAATAATATATATATTCTAAAAGACTGCCATAAGATCAAACTTAATTGGCAAAGCATTGGTATATATAAATATTATAAAAACATGGATTATTTTAGTGTTTCTAGGTCTAAAAGAACTAAATCAAGATTAGAGTCTTAAAATGGTTTAATTTTAATGTTTTAAGAGAAAAGTCATTTAGCAAGGTGGGAATAAAATCAATAGATGGATAATCAGTAAGTTTGAGTATAATAATTGCCATTAGGGGGTTTGAGTCTGGAGGTAGTATAGATATACCTATAAAACAAGGCTAGAACCAGATTATAGAAATGACTAACATCTCAGGACATGGATTTCTTTAAGCTTTTCAAAAGCATTAAAACACAATCCTTGCAAAACCAAGTAAACCAGGAAAAAAGAATAACCTTCCAACCCCTATCAGATGCAGAAATTATTTGTAAAAAAATTGTATATATTAGGTATGTATATGCATGTATCTCTGTATATATATGTGCATTATTTTTGTGAGCATACATATTTATGATTCATTTTTTCATTGCAAAGGGCTGAGAGATCATACAGTAGTTAGCAACAACTATTATTTTGAAATCTGGCTACATGGATGATAGATACTATTCATATATCTGTAATGCATATATTTTGAACCCTTGTATTGGAAATACTGACTGATCTATTAATATTTCCTCAACCATTTTCCAATTTGATGAGATATTAATTTTAAGTTGACTAGATAATGAAGAGCTCTAACTTGTTAGTGGAATAAACCACATCTATTGCACAAACAGCAATGAAACACATAAAAAATAAGAAAATAAATGGCTTACATTTATTTATTAAAAGTTTGACTTTTTCTTTTGAATAGAAAGTTAGCAGTTAAGATAAATTAAAAATTGCCATTACTTTATAATTTAAAAACAAAAATACAAGTTTCTATAACATTTCAGAAGGCACTAAAAGAAAACAATTTTTTTCTTTTATGGGCCACCAAATGCCATAGTCTGGCTGGGCACAATCAGGAGCCACTTGTCAAAAGAAACTAACTTTATTTTTAGAACCACACACGCCAAACAAAACAGCTCCTCAGGAAAAACCCTCAGAGCCCAACTGCCACCACCTGCTTCCCACAAGCCTCTC